ATGCCGATGACACAGCGGTAGTATGGAAAAACCTGGGCAGACGTGAGGAAGCATGCTGAAATCGGAATGTCGTTGGTTGGGAGTTGGCTAAAGGAAAATCTGTTAACTTTGAATATCGCTAAAACGAATTACATCTGCTTTGGTATCCAGAACCATGCACAACCAACTGTCGACTTTAAACTCAAATTGCACTCTTGTAACCTACCCTGGAAATCGATGATGTTAGATTGTGATTGCCCTGTTATGGAAAAGATTGACAAAACTAAGCACTTGGGGGTGGTGGTTGATCAGCGGCTGTCCTGGCATTCTCATATTGATCAAGTTACTACCAGAATTAGGAAACTAATTTGGATATTCAAGACTCTTAGACATGTGGTGCCTGGAGAGCGGTTGATTGGTCAGGGCTCCTCAAGAAATATTCTTAAAGAAATCTATAAAGCACTGGCAGAGTCAGTCCTTACTTATTGTATCCCTGTATGGGGAGGCGCAACCAAAACAAAAATGTTAGAGTTAGAGCGGGCACAACGGGCTTTGTTGAAAGTTATGCACTTTAAAAATAGAAGATACCCTACAGATGCTTTGTATTCTACCAGTAAAGTCCTGTCTGTTAGAAAGCTATACATTTTACTCACGGTAATAAAAAAACACAAATTGACAACCTTTGATCCTAGTAAAACATTAAAGAGAAGAAAAAGCTCTATTGGACTTCCACGAACAAAATCTGCGTTTGGATCTATGCAATATAATTTTCGCTCGGCATATCTATATTATAAAATAAATAAAATCGTAGATATATATACTAAAACCTCACACGAATGTAAAAAATATATAATAAACTACATAACTTCGTTGAATTATGAAGAAACGGAGGCCTTGTTACAATAGGTAAAAGTAAGAAAAAAAAACATAGCATCACCACCCACTCACACGTACAAATACACACACACACATACACACACTCGACATAAACACACACACATAAAACGACACAAGACTTTCGTATTATTATTTTAAAACTATGTAAAAAATTTATGATTTATTATTCTTTGATATATGTGCTAACATTTATAAGTCTATTTTTTTTTGTTTAAACATAAATAAGATAAGCAAACTGTAATTTTAGGTATGGAAGAGCGGAGTCACCTGTCACAGGCATTATTTGCTTAAAAGGTGGCTTCAATCATGAGTATAGAATGTAACTAAACCATGTTAAAGAAAATAAAAAAAATATTTATTTATTATAATTATTTATTATTATTTAAATTAGAAATCAAATACATGAAATTTATTGATGAAATAATTTAGACGAAAAAATAAAATAATTAATAATAATGAAATAATTTAATTTTTTTAGACGCTTCGGGCGCGCTGGGGCCGACTTTGTGGCACACTGGAGGTCGATATTTTTGTCAGGAATGAAAAATAAAAAAACGAATTTGTAGGTCTGGACACGCTCTACAAGTTTTATTTCAAACATTTTTCGATATTTCACCAGAAAAAAGTAAATAGCGAAAAAAAAATTCTCCCCAAATTTTTGACATTTTTGATCGATATCTCGAAAACGACGATCGATACATGAAAAATGCATGGGACCTTAATTGTAGATCGCGAGAAGAGCAACAAAAAAGTATTCTATAAAAATTTTCGTATCTCAACGGGGAACCGAGTTATGATGAAAAAACTGAATTTAAGGGTTTTTTCAAGATGGCGGAAATTGCACAAGGTTATTTTGGTCGACAATTTGAACTTAAGCTTTTCTTGCCATCCCCCACGTAATATCCAAAATTTGGCTTTTTCGGTTCATTTTCATTTATTTCTCGATTTTCCCGACGTAATGACTGGACTATTTAGCCGCATTTTAGCTTGAAGACGGCAGATTAGAATAAAACAAAGGAGCGCGAAACAATCACGTCTGTACAAGGTTTTGGCGCTAAAATCCAGCCGAATATTTTTGCCTAATATTCGGCTATTCGGTCAAGGGCCTCGCCGAATATTCGGTATACTGCCGAAAAGGCACAATTAACCGCCCACCCGCCTGAAGTGGCATAACTTTGTTTACAATAACGAAACGCTTATGACATTGAATGACAATTTGTTAAGTGAGTAGTTTATGATAAAATGAGAGAATTATTACCCTTTTTTTAAAGATACCCTCAAGTGTGAGTCACTTTTATCGAGTTCAGTCGAATATTGATTTTGGAACTGTTTGTTTTGCGCGTACATAAAGTGTTACTTGTGAAGGTTTTAAACACATTTCTTTGTTCTTAAGTTGTGGCAGGCTTTGCCATTTGCTACTCTACTCACTCACTTATTCAGTAAAATGCCATTGGGCGCAGTTGATGTAGCTAGAGCGGTGGCGCTTTCTGATGCTGGGTATAGCCAGCGTCGTATAGGCCGTATGCTGGGATTTCCTTGAACCACGATACGAGATGCCATCCGACGATACCGAGAAACTGTATCCTACACCAGAAGAGCCGGGCAAAGTCGAACAAGGTGCACTTCTGAGAGAGATGACCTTTTCATTGTATCCAATGTTTTAAGAAATCGCTTCCCTACGGCTCCGGAGGCTCGTAATCGCCTATTTGAGGTACGAAATGTAAGTGTTAGCGTAAGAACAATAAGAAGAAGGCTTGGAGAGCGTAATTTGACTGGTGTCCGGCCGGCTACCCGAGTTGTCCACAGAACCCCGGAGAGCTAGACTTCGATTTGCTCAACAATACCGAAATTGGACAATGAAGCAATGGAAGAACGTTCTCTTCTCTGATGAGTCGAGAGTAGCTTTAAGAGGTCCTGATGGACGCCAGTGAGTGTATCGACGGCCGGGTGAGCGGTTTGCACAGTGTGCTGTACTCGAAACAGTGAGCTACCAAGGTGGCTCAGTAACGGTATGGGGTGGAATTTCTTATGAGACTTGTACAAAGTTGGTTTGAAAGGGGCAGCGTAAATGCTCAGAGGTATGTGAAAGAGGTCTTACAACCTCATGTTATCCCTTTTGTCTCATTTATTGGAGAAGATTTTCTTTTAAAGAACGACAACGCCCGTGCTCACATCGCTAGAGTGGTTACGGAGTACCTTGATGCTGTGGGTATACCACGGTTACCATGGCCAGCTCGAAGTCCGGACCTAAACCCTATCGAACACGCTTAGGACAATCTCAAAAGGCGGGTACGAAGTCGGATTCCCGCTCCTACCTCCATTAATGAGTTGAAGATTGCCTTGATGGAGGAGTGGGAGAATATACCGCAGTCAGATATTCAAGACATTATGGATGGTCTTCCAAATCGACTGGAAGAGGACATAAGAGCCAGTGTAGGCAATACTCATTATTAAAAGTGAGGTTTTTAATGTAAACATAAAGTTTTAGCTTGTTTGTCAACTCCTTTAATTTTGTTTGAAAAACGGTAATTTCAAACTTTTTCAAAATTAAAAAAATAAATCAGCAGCAACTGATTTTTTTCACATATTTCATTTTAAATTATCCATTTTATTAGATTTTTAAGAAAAGAAGTTATTCTAAATGATTTTTTGAAATTACAACGAAAAATGTAAGTGGGCGGTTAATTGTGCCTCTGAGTGTACTATTCGTTGCAAGTCTAGTCCAAATACTCCCCTCCTATTTATTTTATGTCATTCTTCCGTCTTCTAAAGTGCCTTCCTTTGACATCATATATATTAAATTTATCATTATTTAAATTATAGTAGAACATCTATCTATATCTCACGCCGAGTCCCGGGTGGGGTAAGCAGTACACACATCTTTCGCTTCATTACTCATTTCATACATGCACGCCGGTTTTTGCGGCTTCTGACGTCATCTACTTTCAAAATGCGATCAAAGTACTTCTACATCCTTTCACAATCGCGTCTTCTCCGATTCGTCATTCTGTCATTAGCCATTCTTTCCACATGTCCAAAACAATGGAGCATGCCTCTGTAAATTTTAACACCAATACTGTCCTTCACACCAACTCTCTTACTCCCAGATTACAAACGAGGTCTGCGAGAGTCACTCCGCAAATTTTTCGTACCGCTCGCATCTCGACTGTGTTTATTTTACTTTCATGCTCCTTTATTTCTGACATACCGAGCTCTCGTTTCCATACATTAGCATTGGGACCAGCACTGCATTGTGTATGGCGAGCTGTACCTCCTGGCTTAGATTTTTAATGCCAAGAAGTTTTCCCAAAGCTCCATTCACTTATTTCCTGCACCGACTCCTCTCTATGTCAGCGGTGTACCTTCCACACTTTCTAAAAGCACATCCAAGATATACGATTTCATTTACTTGTTCCAGCACTACATCAGCCATAATCCTAACATTTGTTCTAGATTACTCTCTTCCGAAAACCATTATCTTAGTTTTCTTCGCATTTAGTTGTTAGCCATTCTGTATACAATCATCTTTCATTACTGTGATCAGTGTCTGCAGATCAGCTGGATTATCTGCGTAGTTGCACGGCGTCATTTGCGTATATCAGGCAGTTAACAACTAGATCACCAATTTGCAATCCACCATCCATCGACCCGAGGGTCGGCACGGCGCTGACGGCACGCAGCCTATTTGACGCCAACATTGATTCCAAATCAGGGCGACAAGCTGCCGCACACCCGCACGCATGCTGTATAATCTTCATAAGTTGATTACACAACACGCAGCAGGGTACTGTCAATCCCATATCTCAGCAATATATTCCACGATCTCCGTGGCCGAGTGGTTTGTACGCCGGGTTTCATGGTGTCTTTGTCATTTTCCGACTCGAGAGGTCTCGGGTTCAAATTCCGAGGGGGCAGATGTTTGTGTGATGAATACGAGCATTTGTACTACAGTCGTGGATGTTTAATATGTATTTCTATAAAAAAAATACTTATATATTTACAGTATATGTATTCTATCCGTTACCCTAGTATCCCATAACACAAGCCTTATAGTGCTTACTTTGGGGCTAGGCTGATTGGTGTGAGTGTTGGAAATATTTATTTATTTAATTTATTTATTCCAGAGATCTTTTCGCACAAATCGCTATCTCATGATTCAGAAAACCGCAGCAAACCTTCTGGCCAAGAGCTAGATGCTTCTCCACGATATTGCGGAGCGAGAAAACTTGATCCAGGCATCTCCTCACATAAAAACCACCCAGTTTGAACATCTCAACATAAAAATTACAATAGTACTTAAATGTCATTAAGGGTAACATTTAAATTATAACAAGAAAACGGCGCAACTCAAAGTGAGCCTTACCTAGCTTAGTTTGTTCCGCGAGTTGTCAGTTTTTTATACGGCTCGTCGTGTCGAACAATGCTCGCGACAAAATATGATAGTTTTTACAGTTTAAACATTATTTTTACACATTTAAAAGCAAAATAAAGTGTTGAGTATATTTTTCGCGAGTCATTGATATATTCCGTCCTGTACGTATATCGACTAAAAATCTATTTTACAATAAAATGATTTAGGAAAAAATTGCACCCAATATTTTAATTGGTTCATAGGTAAATATTGTACAGACAAATATATTATTATTTTCGTATACTTTTCCACGTGTATGTGATAGGTATTTATTTAAGTAAAACAAATAAATTGGTGGTTAATAATTGAATAGTGTAATTTTTGTTCTTGGACTTTTACTTCCTTTACAAAATATACATGAACATAATCACATTGTTCCTGCCAAATACTTTGACATCGCATAACAAAGTTTCCTCATTTTGTGGGTTTTGCGTCAGATGATGGTAACACTAATTCATATATTTATTTGAGTGCGGACATACGCACACAAATACATGTACCTACTACACTCAACTTAAGGTGTCTGCATCTCTGCTTTGCAATGTTTTGGACAAACATTGTTCAAAATGCCTTTATGCACACAAGGAAATGAATTCGGCACGCATTACCGCTCTTATTTTGTTTAAGATAAGGCTTCTATGCATTTCTAAAAATATACTTTTATGTTTCAGAGATTTTGGAAGCCAAATGTTTGTTTTAATTTTCTGGATACCTTTTTCACGTACGTAAAGAGATGTTTATCAAGAAAGATAAAACACGAATGTGGAGAGAAGGCACTTAATCATATTCATAAATTGCCATTATTATCATTAATGCTGGAATGGAGACCTGGTATGCCTATACAAGTTTCAGAAAGTTATAACCATGAAGATGACCCTATATTACCTCAATATTTTATAGAAAATTATGGTAAATCACTTGTAAATGACGAGAATTCAAGATAAATATGGACTTTCACACTGGCGGCACGACGACTAATATAATGCCTATATCTGTAGTCGCGTGTCCATAGCAATCAGGCGCGACCGCAGCCTAAAATTTTGGATGGGGTCACCAAACTTTTGTTTTCTTATTTTGTAAATTTTTAGAATGTTTTTAATTTGACGGGTGTGATTTGGGGGAGAAGGAGGGGGTCTTGGTCTCTGTGACCACCAGATGTAACAGATCATAGAGCGAGATCCCAGTCACCCTAGACTTACGTGACTTTAGGGAAGATGGAATTTTTTAGAGTGGTAGTACCTATATAATATAAACTTAGTAACGAATGGATACTCGCTAAGCTTAAAGCTGGGCGGTTACAAAAGTTTTGAAAGGTGAAAAAAAATACATGCTAACTTACGTCAAAGTAGAAAGGCTGGGTTTTACATAAATGTTATTTATGAAATTGTTACAAACCAATCTAAATGGTTACCATATACTTCCTTGGTGCCACAACTTTTGCGAGACAGTTTAAAAATGGTTAAGTAAAATTTGGTTGTGTCCAAAAACCCAATTACAAATAGCGTTGTTATATTGTGTTAGTGCTTAAAGCTGCTATAAATTTTAATCGATCGTCTATTAATAAATTTATGAAGTATCTGGTAAAAGTTATGGCATACAGAAAGTGTCTGACAACCATAATGTTAATTTATAACAATATCATTCCTATATAACCAATGTAAAATCCAGCCTCCCCTTCTTTGCCGTAAGTTAGCATAATTTATTCCCACCTTTATTTCTGCTATCTATGAAACAGCCCCGTTTTCAGCCAAGCGAGTATCATAGGTTACACAGTGCGAACTGGCCTAGTCAGTTATTGGTGTCGATTCTGGCATGATTATCTAAACCTAAAGGACATTGAGCAAAAATGTATGGATGCTGCACCCACATCCGCCAGGGCTTAAACTATCAAATCAAATTATTCCATCCCATACTTTCATATCAGCAGCTCGCTCTTGTGTGACGAGTCGAGCTACTGCCATGTAAGTACAGGCTATAGTAGCTGTCGACTGTCATATCAGCAGCTCGCACTATGTAACCTCGCCTTGAGTAAATATTATAATATCACTTCTAAAAATTTCATCACTCCTAAAATCACGTAAATCTGGGGTGACACTGATCTTGTACTATCAATGGTTAATCAGGTTTACTATTTATTATAAAAGTTCCTAACTGCCTGTCTGTGGTCGCTGATGATAGGTTGAATTTTCGTTGGTAATTGTTTTTGTAAGATTAAATTTTATTACAAAAATACATTTTTTTTATTAAATTTATGTCTACTCAATTTTCAAAATGAGACCAAAAATACTGTGGTACCATTTATTATCACTGCATAGCAAATGGTGTAAATCAACATCCATATAAGACTAATCAACAACATGGATATCTTCACTTAACACGTACAATTAATTTTAAACTATTTTGTTAATGTGTATTTATAAAAATATGTAGAAATAAAAACAATTAACAGAACAACATAGATTTAATAAAATTAAATGGGTGTCATGTATTTAATTAATAAATCTTAATTCCAAATTGTATTTACATAACAAATATTTTTAGTAACAAAACCTCCATCTATGACTGACACTTGAATGAAACTATAAATGTTGCATGCAATTCCAATGTTTTATGTAAACTTTATTTCTATTAACGATAAGTTAGAATCCAGACGTTAGCGGTATTTTAACATTATGTCATGTCCAAAATGGAACATAGACCCCCTCGTGAACATAATAGATAAAGTCTAATTTGAAGCGTTAGAAAAATCGTAACAAAAGCCTTCTTAAGAAAAATACTTTTAGATGATGTTTTTGATTTAAGCACAATTTAACCCATTTTTAATAAACGTCTTCGTCAATCGAATGTAATTCGCTGAACAGAGACATAAGGGTAACCAATTATCATCTATACTGCGCTGTGCTATGATCTACTTAGTCAAATCAGACAGTAAGTGCAGCATTGCGCTTTGTGTGGTTCTGTGAGTGCAACTCAATGGTCACCAACTATTGTTTCTACTACTACACTCGGCTATTTGTAAACTTGACATCAATCTGTCCTTTTCATTCCTTATAAAGCATGAAAAAGACAAACTGTTGTCAAGTTTACAAATAGCAAATACGATTAACCAAATGAAGTGACGGTATAATAATGAGGAAAATTGTATCTACTGAATATATACTAAATCAATAGTAACGAAGTTTAGATAAACAAAGAATTGATGCAACTTTTCAGGGCTAACTATACATAAAGATACAGATTTATGGTTTATTAACTCTTGTGTGTGACCTACTGTGCTGTCTCTGACAGACCTGCTGTTCAGAGCAAAATTAACATTTCACGCAGCAGCTCACAATTCAGAATACACAAAGCTATCAAGATTGTCCGTTCGATTTTCAACCTTAGTGGTTGGATTTAGAGTTTTACAACATTTTGATATTTTGTGGTAGCCCACAAAATATTGTCCATACACTCGGCACCTATTTAAACAGTTCTATCAATAATAACCAAACTCATTTGGTTCAATTTCCAGTGTCGTACATTCATTTTCTGTACAATTATGCTAGTTAAACATTTTAGCGACAGTGTGATGATAATAATTCTATCGAAACATTTAACACTCATCATAAGTATACATAATAATAACATTAAAAATACATGATTTCAATGATGAATGAGGACACTATCATAGTTATCATTGTACGAACCTGTTCTTGACTTTTAAGCTTTATGTCGGCACTTCATTTGGCTATTTGTATTTGCTATTTGTAAACTTGACAACAGTCTCTCCATATCATGCTTTATCACACTAATATTAAAGGCGAAATTTTGTGAGTGTGTATGTTTGTTACTTCTTCACGTCTAAACGGCTGGAGTGAGTGTAATAAAATTAAGTATGGAGTTAGCTGACACCCTGGATTAACACATAAGCTACGTTTTACTGGTAACACAGCTAGTAAGAAATAAATGGGACAGACTGATGTCAAATTGACAAATAGCAAACACTAATAGCCAAGTGATGGGCCGGCATTAGATAGGTACAAAATTATATATTCAATATACTCATTATCACATAGTACATTTTTTTTACTTCTTAACCATAATTTTGAAGTAACAAATTCAATGATTCTATTTCCCAGTAATTGCTTTGTAATAACAATACTACACTTTGTGGCATTTCATTATGAGCTTAATGGGTGATGAAAGCCTTACTTCAATTTGATGTGTCTGAGACACAACAAACAACATAGGTGCCTACTGATTATGTTTTGTAGTGGTCATGTTTTATTGTAATTAGTTTCATAAAGAATATATCAATTATTTGAGTTGAATATGAAATTGCATTATACATTGTAGAAATATGTGAACCATACCAAACTTGGTAAAAGAATTCCAAAGACTAACATATTTTTTATACATATACAGCCAAATATTTGCATTTTGTTTTTGATAATAACAAAAATAGTAAATAACTACTCTAGCTAAAATGATGAATTGTTTGTTTGGTGTGATATATCAATACAAGTTTTAACAAGCTTTTCACTGTGTTAACAGCAGACACACATTGCGAGTAAAGTGAAACTAAATTTTATTTAAATATGGATTAGGGATTTTCACTGATTGTAGATTTTTTTGTATTAATTAATGAATAATGGAATAACATTAAAATATATTTACACTTTCACTTAATAAGAAATGTACCTTAGTAAAATTTACAACTTAATAGTAATTAGGTACTAATCGATTTTGGTGAGTTGTACCAAATTGGAATAATAAGGCCTCAACGACATAGGCGCGTTTATACGGGTCAAATGAATTCAAGTTGTTTTTAGTACATTATGTATGAGAACGGCTGCAAAGTTACACACTGCTGCGATAATAACGAATATCGCAATAATATTATTATTGACCGATAATAACGAGCCTATGGGCGGGAGGTTCAACTCTGATCACTGAGGTACTTCGTTGTTATATTATTCCTCATGCGGAGTGACCATGAAATAAGTTTTTGCATCGAAAATATCTATAAACTTTTAAACAGTCTTCGGTTACACTTACATATAGGAATATCCCTGTCGAATCAGTTATTTGTACTAGCGTTATAACAAATTGTCTAATAAGCTTTTTTATCAGGCACAGGTCGAGGAAATACTTTGATGATGTTCCGCCTCGCGTTTTACTAAAGTCTAAGCCGAACAAAGTTTTTTTATTGTTAAAAATATTAGGTGAAATGTTAAAAGAAAGTATGCATTCGTCTTTGCTGACACTGGTGTCGATTCTAGCATGATTCTCTAAACGTAAACTTAAATTTGACAGCAGTATATCCTTGTCATTCTTGATACAGAATGAAAAGAAGAGACTGATGTTAAATTTAGTTTTAAGTTTAGAGAATCACGCCAGAATTGGCACCACTATATAGTCATAAACAACCAATCTGAATGACACAATAACACAAACAGCTACGTTATAGATTGGAGCGACAAAAACAATTTTAGTAAATCACCACAACTATATTTATCTTTTCTTCTGAATGACAGCATTATGATCGGCTCTCTAATTGTGTAACTTCAACTCCTATCATGACACTTGAAATATATTGACGAACTTCAACTTATACTTCGGAATCGGTCCGGTTGAAGATTATAATATCTCTCAAATAACACAATGGAAAGAAATAAATATGAAATAAATTTGGTCTCTCATGCCAAATGAGCGCTGGCCGAGTCTCCCGCCACGCCTGCATGAATGGCGTCATCCGCAGAGCTCTTGTCGCAGTCAACGTGCCAGCGGTCCTTGAGCCTAGCTGCATCTTTCGTGAAGATGGCAAGAGACCTGACGGAATGACGCTCATTCCGTGGAAGCAGGGTCGCCCTCTTGTGTGGGACGCAACTTGCGCGGATACGCTTGCTCCGTGCCACACAGAGAGCACCTCCCTTGCTGCGGGTGCGGCGGCGGCCTCTGCTGAATGCTCTGAACGGCGGAAATATTCAGCTCTCAATGAGAACTATATATTTGTGCCGTTTGGTGTTGAGACCATGGGCCCATGGGGTCCAAGCGCTCGTTCCTTTTTTAAGGGAATATCAAAGAGACTCACCGAAGTTACTGGTGATCAAAAGGCTGGCAGCTATCTTGGTCAACGGATCAGCCTTGCCATTCAATGTGGCAATGCTGCCAGCCTATTGAGCACCATTCCCTGTCGGCGGCGCTGGGGGTGACTTATTTTGTAAATAGGATGTTATTTATAAGTAGGTTAAGGAAATTTGTATTTAAATATTATTTATTTCTGTACATATATAATTAAAATTTTGATATCATGGAAAGTATCATGATAGGAGTTGAAGTTACACAAGTAGTGGGCCCATTTCAGGAACTAGGTGTTAATCTATCTCTTGGACCACGAACATTTGAAGCCGACCATTACTGGTTTCTCGTAAAGTTTATTTTAGAACAAGGGTGTATCAATCATTAATTAGTTTGTAGCGTACTCTATTATAATTAGGGACGGTAAGACCTCTTTGAACGGTATCACTTGAAAAGCAAGGGCCGGCCTCGTCAGCGTTTAACAATATACGAATCTTCACCTTCGATTCTTTCCATAAGCTCAATGTAGCCACATTGGCGGAATTTTAATTTCCCATCGCATTTAATGCGTTCAATATAAATTTAGTATATCAGTAAAATTCCTATTTGATAATAAAATATATTAAATCTTTGTGCTAACTTACAATAAATTCATTTTTTTACTATAAAATACACTATTAATATTCATCCTTATAAATCAATTTCTAAATTACTTATAGCGCGCTTTGCACGCTGCATTGGTCTGGATAAATACTACGAACAGCTACATATAACAAATTTTGTTGATGGAACTGTTGTTTAATTACAGTATCACTATTGGGTTGCATCACGCTACGTATTACAAAATATTTATAGAATATTTCGATGTTTCATACTGATTTCGTGTGAGCTTAGATTATATTGTCATTAGGCACATGAACATGACTTATAAGACGGTTCACCTAGAAAGTAACATTGGTGTCACGACTATTACTCCACCAATGTTACAATGTAGCACTATACAGAGACAGGGACAATGTTTGTATTTCACTCCTATTTTTATTATTTTATTAGAACATTATTTGCATTATTGAACAAGATCCCAAAGCTTTTTATAAGACTTCTAATAATTCTCGATCATTTACACAAAGCGTACAACTTGCAATTTTAATCTTTCAAACATGGAAGTTGAAAGATATTTTCATAGTTCAAATATCTAGATTTCAATTTGAAAGGCATTATAAGTTATCAATATAAGTTTTAAAATAAGACAATTAGGGAGGTGGTATTTCATACACGCTCTCTCAAAACATTTTACTGATAAATTTCGATATGATGTATTAAAGCATTTGCTTTATATGGGGATTTTATATTTGCTTATCATGTCGAATAATTAAGATGAATTAATAATTAAAATGAATTGTAAGATAGTGGTCTTTAAGAGCCCTTTCACATTTTTTGCAAAAAAATCGTAATTTTTGAGCGCCTCGTTTTTCCCCTTAAAAAGATTTTGACTATTTCCAATAGAAGTAAACAGTAGATTTATACTTCCTATTGTAAGTTAATGTAGAATATTTGCAAATATTATTTTCCTTTTTTGTACTTATTATTCTACTAGTTTACGGAAAAAAACGATAATATGCACAACTTCAAAAGCCTCAATCTCTCAATAATGTTCAATAAATAAGATCAAATTAATTACTACGACATCATAAATATGTTTTTGTTGTAACATAATGTATTAGAATTTTCCATCTCACTAATTATAAAAAAAATCATTTAACCTCCTTTTCCCAAAAAATAATGCAGGTTTACCTCGTATTTTGATACTGAATTAAAGAGAATTACTATCAAAAACTTTCATAAAACTAATCTACCATCATTAAACTACTGAATGTGTATATTTTTTTATAATTAGTTTATTAATAATTCTTTTAAAAGGACTCGAAACATCATCCGTAAAATGCAATATATACTAGTGCAAATTTACCTACGCGCCGATTAGTACGGCAGCGGCGTAATTTTGTAAAAGGGCTCTTAAGAGCCCTTAAAGATATAGGACACGATGAATATGGAATAAACGTATTATGTTGATACTACGAAGATTCACAAAAAGGAGCAAATTTTCTATTGTAGCAAATATGGAAAAAAATAACGCAATGTCAAAATTTTGTTAAAGGTTCTTACTTACGTTTATGTAGCCTAGTAATGTTATTGTGATTGCTACTTAATAATTTATAAGAATCGTGATAAATTTTTCACAGATGTTGAGTTATTAATAGTTTTTAGCATGTCACTGTTACCGCTATACAGTCCTATATATTTTCGATTATTCAAAGATTGGAAGCATTCGAAAATAAAATAAAAATTACATTATAAATCAATGTATAAAATTACGATTTTACAAACCATAGTAATTCTAAAAACAATATAATAAAACCAAACTTAATAAATTAATTTTCAATTTTAAATCTATTTTAAAGGTGTGTATAAAATGTAAATTTTAAAATAATTTACATTAAAATTGAAATTTTATTTATTCTTGTGACTTTTAACCCATTATCTAGTTCCATCATTGTTAAAATCATTTAATATAAAATATTCTTTAGTATCTATACAAAAAAATAGGCAATGCCTGTGTCAATTCTATAATTTATAGACAAAATCAATAATGATAACACCTGACTTTCATAATAATGACCAGAGTTTGCTTTTGCTTACTCCCTAGTAATTGAAATAGCATAGATATTTTTTAATTATCACATTAATAATGGTGCACAATATATTGACTCAACGTTTTGGGAGTGTGCGATCTGAATTTAAAATTAGCCATGCACAACTTAGAACCTTCACTGAAGGCAAACAAACAAACATTGTACTCTTTAAAGATATCCAATATTTCGACATCTATAGTCTGTACAAACAAAGATGTAACATTAAATATTATATACAAACATCTATATATAAACAAGGGCTGACTAGAGATCGACGTATGGAGCGTCCATTTTGTCGAGGTCGGCCAGCAAGGCGGGTGTTAGGGGGTCCAACATGTCCTCTCGCAACATGTCGTTCAACGGAGATGCCAGGCTTTGGTCATTATCCATCACGATATCATGAATCTGCGAAGAACCTCCCACTGAATTGCCGTTGATTAGATAATCTCTATTACTGTAGCTGAAAACGCTTCTGTCCTCCACCAACTGCGGAGTCGACGGCACAGATTTAGATGATATGCCGTTAGATGCATTGGAATAAGAATTTTCAGCAGGAAACAATTCCCTGGGACGACACGAGTCGATTTGTAAATTCGACGCTGCACGTTTGAATGGTAACGGTGTGCTAGGCACAGACCGAGACGTATAAAACTTATTCTTATCGGATTCTAATTCGGATAGGTCAAATTCAATACTATTAGGTCGTTTTAAGAAATCCTCAACATTATCCGTGGAAGTAGCATCGTTAGTGAAGCTCTGATTGAACTGACTGCTTCTATCGAGTAATTCGTCACCGCTGGGCATAAGGGAACCGAGCTGTTCATCAGAAAGTATCGTCTGTTCGGGCATGTGATCACAACCATTACTCAGCGTATTGTTAGAATTCAATAGTGTTTGAGCTGCGTTTGTGTTAAGTACATCATTGCTACTGTCGATCGCATTGTAAATTTTATCCAATGTTTCAGAATTTAAACCCGCCTTCGATATATCACATGTGTCAGCTAAAGAGCCAAAATCACAAAACTCATTAGGGACCGGCGTGGGTGGGACTGAACCGACTGGGGTGTTATTATAACTTAACAAGCACATGTTATTGATGCCTTGTTTGAGGGGCACAGACTGTGACCTGAACGAATCTGGTACCGGCCTATAATTAACAAGAGGTTCTTGAAAGAATTGACTGACCTCACTCGATAAAGGGTCAGCTGATAACGGCTGCGTGAGCTCCCTATCCATATGATCTCGTATCGGAGTATTCGGTAAAAAGTTTAAACTTAGGTTATGAGCACCATTCGATACGGGAGCGCAATGAAACAATTGTGCTTTATATTGAGAATTTAGAATGTTAGGTGACGGCGGTGCAGACATCGGTTGGATTGATTGGCAGAATTTGCCTGGGCCACATACCGGCATTTTATTTAGGAATTTCTGATCGTTCGGTATTGCAAACTGCTTGTGGCATTGATCAACCACTCCTAAAGATAAAGGGTTCCGCCTTTTTCGTCCGTTTAGTTTTGGTATTGGTCTTGGGCAAAATTTCGAACGTGGTACGGGTGTATTTCGGGGACTTACGAAAGGGCTCGCTGCAGTGCTGTGAGATATTGGTGAAGTTTGGAGTGAATTTCCCATAACAGACTTATTGATTTTCGTTGGACTATGTCCACTTTGGCTAAATCCCAAAGGCGATTTCGAATTAAAATTGCCAGGCGACTGGCATCCGTCAGATATAGGAACAAAGTCGTACTGTTGCGTTCTAGAAGTAGGACTCTGAGGTTCGTTCTGACAATTAGGATGATTTGACGAGCTGTTACTTATAAATGGTGGGGCAGTTCCATTTTCATTCGGAACAGAGTTACACATTTTGCTGTTGTTCACCCCGATTTGGTTCAATGTCGGAGGTCCGTTGGTTACATCGACGTCGCCGAGCGGTTTAAACGCACCATCGTTCGTAGCTAATTTGAGCGTCTGCTCGTGCGAATTTTCTTTGAGTTGTTGCTGATCCTGATTTATAGAAGCATTCTGCGAAGAGCTATTCTGGTTTTTTAAATTTTTCGCCAGCAGTTCGCGCAGTTGTGATATCTTTTCATTCTTGCCCTGACTGTGATCGTCGTGCGGGTCTTGATTGGTTTCTAAAAAAGAAGCAGCGTCGCAGGCGGACGGCGTTTCGGTCGGCTCCGCATCCTTCGCTTGGAAATACTGCAGCAGCTCCTCCTCGTGCTCCTGACTGTTGCCCTCGTTAAGGTAGTCGTCGAGATCGTGCTTGTCGATGTTGCAGATGCTGATCACCCGCTCCCTGTTGAGGATCTCCGAGTGCTTCTCCTCGCAGATCATGCCGGTTTTGATGTTGATGCCGTCCAGGCCGCAGCATGTGTCGGGGCTCGCGGGCGGGCGGGGCCGCGCGGGCCGGCGCTCGCTGCGTTCGGGCCTAGGGGTCTGCGCCTTCGTCGACCGCGTGGGACTCGCCGCCTCCTGTTCCTCCCGGGCCAGCGCCGCGGCGGTGCTTTTGGACCGGCTCGTTAAGTTTTTTGGATCCTCTAAAAAAGCGACCGCGGAACGTGCGGGGGTCGGGTCCGCGGAGGCGGAGGGGCCGTCGTTAGCGGCGTGGCGCGCGGCGGCCAGCTTGCCGCCCATGATCTCGGCGGCGCGCATCTTCTTGGGCAGGTACTCGGCGCGCGGGAACTCCTCCTGGGTGGGCGGGGGACGCGGCTCGGGTGGGGCGCGGGGGGAACTGCCCTGGGTCTCGCTGTGGTATGTCTCTAGGATGAGTTTCTTACCGGGTAGGGGCAGGCGTGGGGGCGGCTCGGGGGGCCGGCGGCGGGCCCAGTCGGCGGCGGGGCCGCGCGCGTCGCTGCTGAGGTTGATAGGCACGTTGAGCGCGGGGTCGGGCACGTTGAGCGAGAGGTCGCGCGCGTACCCCTGCTCGTACGCGTACGCCTCGGGGCGGTAGTCGGCAGGCGAGGGGTGGGGGTGGGGGTGAGGGTGCGCGCGGGGCGGTCCGAACGCCGCGTAAGGCGCGCGCACCTCGTACACATACGGCGGATGGTAGCCGTACTCTGGCGCGTCCTCGTGTTTCACAGGCGCGGGGGTGTGCTGCGCGTACGACGTGGAGGGCGGCGACTCGCTCGCCTCCTGCGCCTTCTTCTTCCGCGGCCGACCCGGTGCACCCTGCGTCTGTACATCGTGTATTCAGAATTTAATAAATAAAAATTCAAAATCCGGATCTTGTGATAAGGAATGTGAATGGCAAATACCTGTATTTTCCTCTTTAACTGGGTTATCAGCTGGCGACTGGCGGCGTCATCTGGAGATACTGAACGAAAATAAATGGTTATTAACAGTATTGTTAATTTAATAATTATAGCGAATGTATATACGCTAAAATAAAGGCTGGGTTATGTGTTTATTTGATTTATTCCTCACCGTGTGATTGGCCCAAAGGTGGTGGAGAACTACTGGCCGGACCTGGCGCTGTGTGTTGCACGGCTGCTGCCATTAGATGTCGTGATAACTCCGATATGTTGGTGAACTTTATACCTAGTGGGAAAAAGGAGTTTATTATAAAAGGCTTGATTTCAAATTCGAAAACTGGAACTGGTTTGAATTAATACTTTAATTTTTATTTGTGATGCATTTTATCACTATTGACGGCTTGATTGAAAGGACATCGTTTTTTATTATTAGGCTTGGTACAGAATTCAAAAGGCCAAAAGAGAGATGAACGCTTTAGTGTAATAGTACTCTACTATTAGTTTAAATAAGTATAAAGTTGCATACCTAATTTTAATTCAGCCCAGTCGCACACTATTCTTTCAGTTTCTTTCGACGCTATGTTCACTTCCTGCAACTGAATAGAAGTAGAATTAATAACTCTTGTGTTTAATAATTACATGTCTTATTCCCATAACAATAGGAGCTATATTAGTAGAACAATTGTATTGAACGTTGTGGTATTGAGTTTGCGGTAGGTAGGAATCGTTTTTAGTTACATGGCGCAATAACTGATTTGCATTATGATTAAAATTTTCCACTTTTAGTTCAATATCACAGACCTTCAGTTTATAACAACTGCCTCGTATATCTGATTTTTTTAATGAGGAACTCAATAGCGCAGGTAATTATCGCAATGGGCTTTCGATCATGGAAGTTAAGCAACTTTCGCAATGGCCGGTCATTGGATGGGTGACCAAAAACTGTTTAAGGTATCTCTAGCTCTTCCGTGCTCCGGCACATTAATCCGTTGGTTCCGGCTGCATCTGCAGTCGATAGCAGCCCCAATCAGCACTAGTCCGGCACGGTGGGTAATGGCCCAATCTCCCTATTCTATCCAGAGGGTAGGCCTGAGCCCAGCAGTGGGGACGTTAATAGGCCGATGATGATAACAATATTTTTTTTAAATGTTCAATAATATTTACCTTTGATGATTCTCCCAAAGTTGGAAGCTGTGGTACTTCTAATTTAACTTTTTTCCGTAGACCGGCGTAACAATACCTGAGAAGCATACAAAAAACGATAAAATTTTGAGATATTTATTTACAAATTTTAAACTCGCTGTTTTGCCGCGATACTATTTTAATTATTTGCGTGGAAAAAAATATATTTTTCTGAGTCGGCTAAACTGTTTAGGGGCCTTACTACTACGGCTTTATTCTAGGAACAAGTTATAATGTAATATATGCGTAGTTGAGTCCACATAAATTATTTTTTCTATCGCACGAAACTATTTAATAGGGATGATGAGTAACTTTTTCTTCACCTATCAGGTAGATTATCAAAAAGAATTGGATACGGTATACGGATTTTATCTTTTTGACATAATCAAAATATTACAGAGATATATTGATTTGAAATGTGGCACGACGTTACGTGTTTTTACCATACAACTGACGTCACGAGAGGGGTCTCGTGACGTCACATACAACTGACGTTGGAGTGGGAACTCCCAAACTTTGACGAAAAAGAAAAAATATGTGTCTATTATTTTTTAATAATATTAGTGACGGAATAAATAGAATTTCGTTAACTTTTTCCCGTACCAATCAACGATATTAAATACCCTTAGATACACCAACACAAAAAAAATCATGCCCGAAATTTGTTCTAAAGGTACATTGGACGATCCATGGAGCTCCGTGAGATAATCGCATAAACCATATAAAGCATTATTTAAAGTTAAACATTGAAAATCACCTTAAAAGAAGAGAAAAATAAGGTTCTGATTAAAACGCATGCGTCAAATAGTTATGGCAGTCCGAAATGTGAGCTCGTAAAATTTTAAGACTTATTGCTATATGCGAAAGAATATAGACCTAATTTCTTTGACTGTAGTATGCTAAATTATGAACGCGCTGTTAGCAATATAGCAGGTACGGACCGCAAGGAAAAGAGACGGATATATTACCGACCATGCATTTGAATATCACAAATATTTTATATTTTTTTTATTATTAAAAGTTTCAAAGAAATATTTAAAAATTATTCCAAAAGTATTATTTAATTAATTTTTAATATTAGCGTTTGTTAGAGTGACCCGTAATTTAGGCGGTATTAAATCAGTTTATAGTGAGTATTTAAACAAAATTTGCTTCAAATGTGTTAAATTAACAAACATTGATTGGTCAATTGACGACCTCCGTGGCCGAGTGGTTTGTACGCCGGGTTTCATGGTGTCGCCGACTCGAGAGGTCCTGGGTTCGAATCCCGGTGGGGGCAGATGTTTGTGTGATGAATACGAGCATTTGTACTCCAGTCATGGATGTTATAATATGTATTTTCTATATTTATATATGTACAGTATATGTATTCTATCCGTTACCCTAGTTTCCCATAACACAAGCCTTACAGTGCTTACTTTGGGGCTAGGCTAATTGGTGTGAGTGTTGGAAATATTTATTATTTATTTATTTATTTTATTTATTTATTGATTAAATACCTGTCGAAAAAACGACATTTTACATACTATAAGTATTTATTTCACATTTTTTCACGGAGCTCAGCGGCATGTTGACTTTTCAACGGTCCGCGCGTGACTGTGAACCAAGAAGTGCTTGGGTCGTGTTCAAGCACTTCTTGATAGGGACACATTTGAGCGGACATGGTGTATCTAGGGTATTTAATATCGTTGGTACCAACTTCTGAGTAATTTGGAGCAATAACATAACAATAGATTTTTTTAATAACTCCTGTTGAGTAATATTGTATTCCATTTAACACACATGAGTACATTTATGGCAAAAAATAAGTATTATCTTAAGGGCTTAATAAAGAAGAAAATCTCCTTCACAATTTTGGCCAGAAGGAATATTTTTTATAAGCGGACTTTAATAAAAAATCTTACGTGTACATGCCAGGTCGTTCATATTAAATAATGATAGAGATAAGGCATTTGCAAATATCAGTTGTTTATGTTCACACATTTTTACATTATATTAGAGAGAAGAAGCGGCGACTTTACAGAACGCAGATAATAAAACTACTCGTACGCGCTGATAAATCACAGTTTATACCTAACAGGTAAAATTATGTTGGTGTTAAATGCTATTATTATTACTGTAGGTACTTAGTTCATGATGCCTGAAGGAGATAGACTGTTTGAAACGACTGCTTTTAATAATAACATGGTTAATTTTCCCGAAAGCTTGTTTAACATTCAATTATTAAGCGTTCATCTCTATTTCGAAAATGAACACAACATACATAAAAATTATATTCAATTATATAATGTTATTATAATGACATGTTCATTACAATTTTATTAAGCCAGAACAACAAATTCATTGAATTGTCACTATCGTGCAACGTCATTATTAGATAAGACAATAATATTTTGAGATAAAATGAAGCATTGCACGTACAGCCCCTACCAATTGTTTAAACACTTATCTATACATTGTTAAAATAAAACCACTTCCCGTGTCTATTTATATTGTATATGTAATTTCACACGGAAAGTTTATATGTATAATCAAAACTATAATCTACATATCTATGGGTTTTCTTTTGGTAAAGAGTGGCAAACAAGTAAGTATTATGGTTCGCCCGATGGTAATCGTAGCCTAAGTACAGACGCCAATATCAGATTTTAAATAATTGTTTTCTTATTTTAAATATAATTTAATAATTGTTAGTTTAATTTATTTATAATTTTATTCACAACTAGCGGCCGCCCGCGACTTGCTCCGCGTTAAATTTTAGTTTTTTTGAGAATTCCTCAGGAACCTCACATTTTTTAAGACAAAAGTATCGTATGTCTCAAACCAGGTAATAAACTAAGTATATATTTATGTGCCAAATGTCATCCAAATCCGTTCAGCCGTTTCAGCGTGATTGAGTAACAAATGTCAAAATACAAACGTTCACGTTTATGAATTTAGTAGGATTTTTAAATTTTAATGTCTTCTAAATGTTGTATGATTGAATTGAATCGGAAATAAAGAATTATTATTCGTGCGTCGCCTACCCTGGTCCCATTCCCAAAACTGTACAAAATGCAGGCTTTTAGGTGCACTCCACGTTTTTAATCAGAATAATTTTATTCCATGGTAGGAGACTGGTGCGTGTCATCAAATATGATATTGACTTGAACTATTGTGACATCTTTATTAGTTACACAAGCGAATTATTTTATGCTCGCATTCATTGTACTGTTTATGTGTACACAAAACTAATTTCCGTTTAAATGCCACAATACGCTATAGTCGTCTAAAGATTTTGACATTATTGCAATGCGAATATTCAAACCGCATTTCAATGAAATGAATCCCAAATTAAAGCATCTGACTGTACATACAAACAGATTGGGGGGAATTTTGATTAATATGTGATAATTATCAATAAAAAGTAACTCTTACAATTTTTTTTTAAAGAAGATTTCCTACGTTAGAAAGCCGATCTAAAATGATATCACCGTTTTTTATTTATCGATGATTACGATAAATCAATGATATAAAAATGCAAGATAAGGTGCTAACTGAATAATCATACTTATCTGTACTTTACACCATAAGTTAATTTTAAGATATGACGTGCCCCTTTGACATTAAACTAATCATGTTTACAATTAAGAAAGAAATAATGTTCATAGATAATATAACGCCATTTTCGTTTTCAGCTTAAGAAGTTCTCTACCTACTGTAGCTCGAGTTTTTTTCATATTCGCTGTCAAGTGTCAGAATATGCGTGTGAAGGCACTTCCAAATTTTTTTTTCGTCTAGTCTCTGGTATCAGCTAGAATATTAGGATAGTCTGAGGAAGAATACGTATATTTAATGCAGAGGCCAAATGCAAAGCCTGGGCCGTTGCATTAAATATTATATATACATTAAAAAACGGCACGCTGCATCTTCTTTGGTCAAATCAAATCTCAAGTGCGGCCTTATTATCTAGCCTATCTTTATCGCCAGATTAGCGATTGTTGGTTCTCATACAAAGCTAGATCTGGGGGCCAATCGCCTAGCGGGATTGCCATCGCTATCGCTTACTATTTTATTTTGTTATTTCTGACCGCCTGGCCGGATCTGGGAGCTGACTGATCCGAACACATAAGGTGTGGAAAACTCGCGAAAATGTGACCTACACGAATGCATCTAAATGTAAAGGGAAGCTTGCTTAACCTTTAAGTAATCATTGAAATATTGGCGGGAGCCTATTAGGCTCCACGTGCCATATAATATATTTTGATAGTTTTCGGGTTTGTTTCAGATTTTTGTTATGAAAAATGGCAAAAAGTAGTAAAGCGAGTTGTTCTTGTTCAAAACAGCCAGAAAAGAGGAGAGATACTGTGCGAATTTAAGCCATAAGCCAACGACCAAAGAAGTGTAAGAAACACAAAATTTCTAAGCGAGCTGTAGCTCGAATTTTGAGTAAAGATATGGTGACTGAAGATGTCCAGACTCCACCATTCACACAAGGAACTAGAAGAGGTTATAGAACATGTCATACGTAATAGCATAAAATAACATCTGTTTCTGTGGGTTGCAGCTTAATACGTTATTATAGCAACGTATTTGGTAAAAAATCTGCTCTTATGATGTCTGTTTGCTGTTCGATATTTAACCTTAGGAGTATACCAAATTAAAGAAAGTGACTGTACGCAATGAATGCTGAACGAAGTTACATGCGATTTTCACTATCAACTAAATATCTTTCACGGAAGGTTTATAATGCTTTACCGACGTTATTAAAAACCCCTAAATACACCAAGTACGCTCAAAATGTGCCCCAATCAAGAAGTGCTTGAACACGACTCCAGCACTTCTTTGTTCACAGTCAGGTACGGACGTTGAAAAGTCAACATGCCACAGAGCTCCGGAAAAAATGCGAAAAACATACTTATAGTACGTAGAGTGTTGTTTTTATGACTGATATCTAATCAATGTTTGTTAATTAAACGCATTTGAAACCAATTTTGTTCTAATACTTACTATAAACTGATTTAATAGAAAATATTTGTGATATTCATATGCATGGTCGGTTGTACAGCTGTCTCTTTTCCTCGTGCTCCGTACCTGCTATATTGCTAACAGCGCATTCAGAATTACGATATAGAGTCATAGAAATCAAGTCTATATTCTTCCGCCTATAGCAACAAGTCGTAAAATTTAACGAGCTTGCACTTCGAACTGTCATAACTGTTGTTGTTGATTTTGACGCGGTCATCTTACGGAGCTCCGTGGATCATTCAATGTACCTTCTGGACAGGTTTCGGTCACGATTTTGTTCGTGATGTTGTATCTAGGGTATGAAATATTGTTGTGCTTTACATAGTAGTTGTATATATTGCGCCCGAACCACTTACTTTGTGAAAGAAATAAAGAACATAATCGCGTCATGATTGGAATAAAAACAGAGAATCACATTGAAATAACACCACCAAAAGGCAGTTATATTTATTCATTGAGGGGGAGGTTACTTCCCCAGACATTTTTTTTACTTAAAACAATAAATTTCTATGCTTTAGAAGTTGTGTGCAGGGCATCGGTCTTTTTGGATTCGTGCTGTTATAATGTAGTCCTTGGTGCCAATATAGCCACTGAGATCCTTTGGCCTAATCGCTGACATTTACAGGGTGTAACTAGAGAGAAAATTGCATATCCTTGGATGCTTTTCAGGACAATTAGTATCTTAGTGGCGTTATAATGAAGCAAAAATGTCAAAACTTCAGTGTCAATGGAACATTCTTTCAAGGGTTAAATCTATTTTTAGATAAATCAACATTCAGCAAATTTGCTGCAAGTGGGCCTTAGTTTCCATAATTGATGGAGTCATGCCCATATGTTGTAATTAATAATAAATATTTCCAACACTCACACCAATTAGCCTAACCCCAAAGTAAGCACTATAAGGCTTGTGTTATGGGATACTAGGGTAACGGATAGAATACATATACTGTACATATTTAAGTATATTTATATATTAATACATATTCAATATCCATGACTGGAGCACAAATGCTCGTATTTATCACACAAACATCTGCCCCCGCCGGGATTCGAACCCGGGACCTCTCGAGTCGGCGACGCCATGAAACCCGGTAATAGTAGTAAATAGTAAAAAACGCTCACCTAGAGTTGCCCCGTGTGCCTAGTCGGCGAGGCCTGACACTGGGATACACTTGTTTCATCACTTTTCCGAAATCGGCCGTAGAAAGGGGCTTCATATTGCTAGTCATGCAGTGCGCTCTGGCAACAACAACATTAATAATTAAGAATCTGGCGCGTGGGTGGCTTAATTGGTTTTCTATACAAACTTCCACTTTTCACCCCATTAAAGGAAGATTTCTGGGCTAAAACTATCCTATGCTCTCATCTATCATCATCTATCGACTCAAAATATCTCTGTATTACTATATAACACAGCACCCCAGCATGAGCACCGCGATATGATATATAACACGTTTTTATCACCCTCAATTGTCAAATAATTATGGGGTTCGACAGAACACGATAAAAAACGTGATATAATGTAAATGGTGTTGCATGTCTATTGTGTCGTCTACTCGTATGCCCCTTATTTATTTCCCATTTCATCTAAATCTGTGTAGCTGTTTTAGCGTTAAGAGATAACAGACAGGCAGACGCACTTTAGCATTTATAATATTATATATTTCCTTAGGCTGTATTCTTAGTGACACTGGGTGTTGGTAAATTCCTTTGGTAAATTTTTGACAAAGGGAATATAAAAGGAAATACAGTGTTAAATGTAATATTATGCCACCCCTTAATTTTATTTTGCACCTCCTTAGAGAACCTCCTCAGGAAGGGCCTGCGCTGTGTTAAGCGGAAACACAGAACGAACGTCCGAAACGCGTGCAGATTTCACATAGCAGCGCTACGTGAGGCGGGTCTTCCGTCGCTTAACGCAGCGAAAAAGAAGAGCGCTAAATAATTTGTGAATGAGAGCAGCGATGAAACCTACAGGAAAGTGAACTGCCATTAAATTTCCGACATTCTTGATTAAGATGGGTAAATATAATTACTCTTTTAAAAACATTAAAAGAAAAAAAAACGTGTCTCTGAGGTCGATATCTATGGAGGAGTTGCTTATATGTTTCCAAAATTAGTTTATTCCTTTGTAAAGCATTAAAGCTAAGGGACAATATTTTGAGAAACAATATTTTGGACAAGTCATAGATTTTTTTTATATTCATGCTGCATATTTTAATGGCACTGTATGTATAATATATTTTAAATACTTAAAAGAAATTTTAATTTACCCAATCAAAACTATACCATGGCCTAAGTGTCAATCATCGAAAATCAATTGTTCTTTGATAAAGTTTGCAGTAAGTATGTAAAGAAAACGTTCCGTATTAAGTAATTTCCATTAGATCTAGGAATAGTGATAAAGTTATAAATGTATACTAACATGTATTCATCATACACATCTTGTTTGGGCAAAGAGACGTCCGGATCAACTTCCAGGTGCGTCTGTATCCATGTTACAGTCTGCTGAAGTTCAGCTCTGAAATAAATTATCTTGCATAAAACAAATATTTGAAAATCGTACATTTTTAAGAATATAATCATAATATTTATGATGTCAAGTGTCAATACGAAAACATATAAATTATAGGATGGGTACTATATTCTGTTATTAAATAATAATCATACTAAATTATTATTATTATTTCTAATAAATATGCATGAAAATTACAAGAATTTAATCAAACATTCATAAACTATGGTAATGACATTTTAGTTTCATAAAAGCAGAGGAATTAATATTCCATCATAGATATATTATATAATCATAGAGATATAATGAATAGCAATTATGCTATATATTAATATCTAGGATTTTAAATTAGCAAAGGACACCCGGCTTTTTATGCTTAATTACCGAAATTTGTTTTTCGTGTATTCAAAATCTGGCAAATCTGTGTAATGTATCTGCCCTTTTATTATTTACTGTTTCTATGTAAATAAAATGTTTCTTTAAATAAAACAGCTCTTTTCAATGATCGAATAAAACTGTGGATAGACTTGATTTATGTACCAAATAATATTCGATTTATTTTCAATTGTATATACCGACAATTGAAAATAAGCCTTTGATAATTAGTACTTAGTACTTTGCGAGAACGTTGATTAAGACAATGGCGATCTTCTATGACGAATCTTACTGTTAACGAATTTTTTTTAGGCGCATCTCTGGCCGCTGGCCAGGCATGCTCGCACGGCTCACGCATCATGGTCACAAAACTTTCTTTTTTTTTTGTGGGAGAAATGCCTGACGTGCCTGACGCATACCCGCTCACTGAAAACTGGTGAGCGGGTTAAGTCGGGCTCTCCCTTGCCTACCCAATATACGAAAAGAAGCTTTACTCTAAACCCCCATGTGCCCCGTAAACTCTGGCAATAGGCGTCCCTATAGGACCTAAACGCACACATAGCTAGCCGGTGCCAGTTGCCTGCAACATGAGGCAGACCCACCTCTGGAAAGGGATCTAGGTTGCACCCTCCCCAATCGCTAAGAAAACACGCCGCAGGACACATTGGCGCATCATCTTCTCTTATGAACCTAATTTTTGTACAGCCATCAGACATCCCTCGTGCCTGGTGTCTGAGGTACCTACTGCGGAGACAGTATATGGGTATTACACCGTCCGTCGACCTCGCTTTCTCCGTATTGGCTGTGCGAGTGAATCCACCTCTCGAAGGCGCTCCCCATCCTCTCTTTGCAGTATTATTCCCTCACTAAAAGATGACACTGTCTCCCATGGTCACAAACCTTGTCTAACCTAATGCTAACCCAAGAAACCTAAAACACAATAGTATTTATAGTATCGATTCTTTCGTAATCTTACTGAGGCAACTAGTGTTAAGATTAAGAAATGTTATTGCCATTGTCTAATTATCCGCGTTTTTGCAAAATCCCTAGAATTTTCGCGAAAATTCGATTTATTAAATGCTAGGACATATAATGTTAAGCATTTTTTCTATGAAAAATACCAGTTCTCCTTTGTATTCTAAAATGTCACTGATACTAAATAATTCTAAAAATTACAAAAATATAAACAAATAATACCTAGAGCCCAGTGGGTTTATGGGCTGTTTTAAGGGATCGTGCGGTGGGACTCCAGTGGGTAGTCGTAGATAAAGCAGCAACCGCTCTGCACCACTTAAGGCTTCAACAGCCTCCAATAATTGTGCTACTCGTTGTCGACCCTCTTGGCTGTAAGTTGTTATAAAAATCAGAAAATCATGGGAAATATAACAGCTGGAGCACAAAGAGTAGTATATTAAAGTTATATTTATTTCAGTAAAAATATTTTCTGTGATATGAATATTGAAGAGAAATTTAGGAAAAAATATTTGAGAACTCTATGGCAACATTTGAAGTGTATAAAACATTAATTGAAATTCATACCATCTACATAACATAATATCATTCATATTATGAATCCAGCTTATCAACAGGGTTACAAAAGGCAACACATGGAGTGGAGACTAGTTAGGATTAGGAGGGACAGTGTAAACTCTATATAACGACACTAAAGGGACTGTACATTTTATGGCGTTATAGAGAGCTGTTGTTAAATGGAAAGAAGAAAAATCAGAATTATGAAAAGAAAAAGTTCATTTTAAGCTAGTAGTTATGTACTTAAAAAATAATCTTATTTGAACACTGTTGCATATATTCTGTTATTTTTGTCTGATGTCTTTTGCTGCACCAGAAATTTTGTTGTATTATATATTTTTTTAGTTATAGTCAACAACAGCCTATATGTGCAAGCCCAATTTGTAAAGAAATGAACGAATTTCTTAGAAAGTTTGGTTTGCATGATGCCGACAGTCAAGTTTATTACGGGCAAGGATAATAAAGTGATAAAATAACATACACAGCTGTGCGATTTTCATTAATTTTGGTAACTTTAAAGGTACTTTTTATTACTTAATTGTTGTTGTTATTGAGAGTGGGTGTAATGCTATATGGAGTGTATCATTGTATGGAAAACAAACTAAACCCACCAAAGACTTGTGATTTCGACACTTTATGGAGTTTGTTGTTAAATCAAGTTACGACGAAGAAGACAACATGGAGTTTACACAGTACTTGGAAACCTACATATTTGTAACAATTGAAAAATAATACTATTTTGAAGTATAAAAAAAAAATTTGCAGATGTATTTATTGAAAGAAATAAAAATAACAAATTATTAAAATCAAAACATAGTTATGTCATGCCAATTTTTGTTTGTTCAGTATGAATTGATATTGTGCAAGGCACTAAATTTTTTTGGATATTTACTGGTAGACAGCTGACTTATAATCGCAACTTTGCTTAACAGCAGACCTGATAATTACTATTCAAATCATTAATTATTAGAGTAATAAAAAATTTGCAATGTATCAATAATTATAATAGAGCTTTATAAGTACAAGATTCAAAGAGAAGTCTTCCTTCACCCATCTGCTTACCAGGCAAAAAGAATGTTTTATCAAGTATTTTATATAAATAAAACAAATTGCTATGACTTGCCTGCCAAAAATTCTTCATGACTATTTTTAATTTAATAAACATTTTGTAAATTTTTTGTTCATGTTTTATTAATGTGTTTACTGGATAATTACTGGAATCTGCAAAAAGTAGTGTTGCCATATTTTTCTGTTCGTTTCTACCTGGCAAGCAGGTCGGAATAGGTACCTTCATATAGGTAGGTTTTAATTTATTTTACTTAGTGATAGCACTGATCTGCTTACTAATTAAAATATACATGTAAATGAAGATTTTTAATACAAACAAGATAGTGCAGTGTTGGCACTGAATAGTTGTTCATATACTATTACTGATTATATAAAATACTTGATAAAACATACTTTTCATGTGGTAAGCAGATGGGCGAAGGAAGACCTCTCTTCACATCTTATGACTAAATGGGTGCCATGTGTATATTGATTTCAGAAACCCCATAGCAAGAAGAGGTACTTAATAGCAGATGATACATTCATAGAAGCCAATAAGGCCAGGGGCTCATAAAGAGTGAGATTGTATGTTTAAAATTGAACATGAAACATCAATTCAAATTAATTTTTTTAGTGATTATGGCTGTCTCATTGTGCGATGATTATGCCAATATCTGGGTCTATGACCCAGATGCATCAAATGAACATAATATAAAATGAAATTTGTAATTAGATTTATTGAGTATGTGTAAAATAGCCACTAAGATCAAATACCTTAATGTCGAACTAGAAATTTAAAAAATAAAACATAATTTAAGATGTTCCATACAAATGACGCAATTTCAGACACTTAGATATCCCAAATAAAAACTCATCTTCACACAAAATAACATCAACTCACTCATCAAATTCTGAAAATATCCACACTTGATATTGTTTTAGAAATACATTTTATTTAATAAAACTAGTTTTAACAGATAAATGCACGAACTTTATTTATTATTTTGATGATGCAGACCTGAAAAGGCTGCAAAACATCAATAAATAAATAAAATTTGTGCATTAATCCGTTAAAACTGATGAATGATGTGCGTGAAAACCTAAGAAACAAATATGTATATTTTATTTTGCGAGGTTTGCCAATTTCATCTCTTAAGCACCACAGTACATAAACATATTATAGCTACTTTTACTATTATACAGTGAAATTATAGTGCATTACTCAAAATTTTAAAAAACACATAAAGAAAGGTTTTTATATGATTAATTTTATGAGAATTCCATGAATTACAGAAACAGTAGTCAGATTTCCAATAGCATAAAGGTGCCATGCACTATTTCGTAACTTAGTTGATCTTTATTAGGATGATAAGTAATATAATACTTATAGTAATAGGATGCTGAGTAATTAGTGACAGTCAGAAAACAGTTAATTAAGTAGTAGTAACTTTTCTCCAATATTAAGTAGGCAGATTTAAAACATTCCAAGATTACTTGCAGGGAGTTGTTCATGCCAAGACTGTAGTACCTGAGGGTATTCTCGACGATTTGTTGCATGGAAGCTACTTTGGTGGTGTCCATCTTGGACTCCATACCGGGGACGGTGTCAGCACCCGTGATACTCGAAGAGCCTGGAGCGTTGCTTGCAACGGAGACACTTTCTTTATCGTAAGACGCAGTTTGCGTATGTTTTGGATGATTGACATTTTCCCGATGAAGTTTCGCGTCATCTACTACTTCTCGTTCAGTTTTTATACTTTTCGCACTTTCTTCGGCAGCCCAAGGTTGAAATGGAGTAGTTTTATCCATTGTAACCCTGACTAGCCATGAAAACTACATAATTTGGCTTCATATTGTAAATTTCTAATCTGAAATACAAAATGCGTAACTACACTCCATTTTCTTTGACATTTGATCAGCTGTGGGTGAGGTGGAGGGAGAGCGGGCATGGAGCGGTTGTATGAGTATTGCTATAAATCTAAAGTAATTACTACCCCGTCCGTCACTGACTGACATTCGCACGAATGCGCAAACCTACAAATGTAGGGCGATATTGGTACCAATTCTGGCGTGATTCTCTAAACTTAAAACTAAATTTAACATCAGTCTCTCCTTTTCATTCTGTATAGAGAATGACAAGGATATACTGCTGTCAAATTTAAGTTTAGGTTTAGAGAATCATGCTAGAATCGACACCATTAGATGCCGGCACTTCACATTGTAATCTTCACAATGGTCTCTCTTTTTCATTCCCTATAAGCACAACCTGCATGTGAAGTGCCAGCATGAGAATAACTTTGAAAAGTTTTTGCTATATTCTATCGAGCTTTACAGGTTTGTTTTGACGCGTAAGCAAGCATGCGAACTTTGAACTTTCACGTAGTTTCCCATTCATTTGGACAACCAGTTACAGTTTGTCTATAAAGTCGTGACATTAAATGATGGCGCCACTAGTATGCATGTAGCAACCCTATACAGTCGGACCAAAATGATTTTGATACTAGCAGTTCATTCAAGTAAAATAGTTAATAAATAAGACAGACTATACAGTCGTATTTTGTTTCTATTTTATATATAGTAGGTACCTATGCTTATAAAAAGTTTAGCCAAGCATATTTAATTGAATCAGAATAAAATTATTATAGATAAAATAGTACTTTATAGTGTAAAAGTGTGTAATGTTGATGATTAACGCTGATGTGCCATTGAGACCAGAGCCGTTAGGTAATCATCAATACGCACAAGTATCATCATACGACGTTTTTTAACACACTTGTTAAGAAAATAATACTAAAAATCATTTTATAGTATGTAAAAAGTTTATTTAGAGAAACAATTTGTAAATGTGCAGTTAGTAAAATTAGTGATAGGTATTCACTAAAAGCATCTGGCCATGGTTCTTTATGTGACCATTTCTTTCTTTGGTCGGCCTTGCCTGTTTTCCCAGGAGTTTCAAACTTTCCATCATTCTTAAAAACTGCGTTGACTATCCGACTCTCTGATTTTCCTGAAATAAAGTAAAAAAATATGTAACGGAATAGTAACAACAACTTATTGACATGAAGCAATTAATTCAAAATTGGTAGAAAACCTGACCGAGTTGAACCATAATAACGTATCAAAAGAAATGGTCGTACTACAATATTACCTATTTACAATGTCAATCTAACCTAAAAATGTGCAATGTAAACAATGCCTTTTTGGTCTCTAAATCGTAAATTATGTAAATTTGTAACTTCAGGCAGATTACAAACAAATAGTTACACGATTACATACCCGTCATAGATGCTCTTCGCCCTTATACATCGTCTAAATCCCACAAGATTCGTCCAGCTTGGTAGTCTTCGAAACATCGCTGGAAAACTTTAAAAATCACTTCCCGCGTGCCACTCCGATTTACTTTACTCATTTTTATACCTTTCTGCGTAGTTTCGTCTTATTTTATTACAGTTTAATCCAAACAATAAAAAATACAAAAGGAAAACTGTTCCACAACTGAAACTCGATGACAGCTGATGTACATAAATTTGGTGTTGCCAGACACATGAATAATGTTAGTTCCTCAAACATTCATGTCACGACTTTATAGACAAACTGTACATACATTTACAAAGGGGATATTTTTAGTTGGCTAAGTACAAATGTTTGCACACCATGTAAGTGACCGGTATAAGACATTAGTGTCAATTCTGGCATGATTCTCTAAACCTTAAATTAATATGACAGCAGTGTATCATTGTCATGCTTTATACAGAATGAAAAGGAAAGCCTGGTGTTAAATTTAGTTTTGTTTAGAAATTCATGCCCGATCGAAATCAATATGTACCTCAGTCTTTGCCTAAGTTTGTACCCACTCCACTCGTTTGTACCAAACGCACTGCATTTACATTCAGCTTTTTTGAAATGAAAACTTCTTTAGCGGCGTTTTACCCTTTATTTTCATGGGTAAAAAATATTAAACTCACGTCAGGTAAAACACGTGGGCTGATCGCATCACGAGTCAGGACACACAATAAAATTGGAAAGGTTGTTGACTTTCAATATATTGGACGAAACATAGTAAAATTTCATTTTACCGTATTATAATAATAAGTCTCTATCTAAGACGTCCACGTGGCAGCTTTATTGCGAAGAAAATTCATTTTTTACAATAGATGTCGCTAGGTGCGCTTAAATGTGATTCATGTTAGTTAATTTCTGTACAATAGATGTCGCTAAGTGCGCTTAAACGTGATTCATGTAAGTTGATTTTTCTGAGAGATAAACTTTTTTAATGTAATATAAATTGTCATGTTTGTGTACTATAGCGCAATAAATAAATATTGTATTCTACCACATACATGATAGTACTTTTATTCTGATAATTAAAGCAATTCGTGCAAAATTATTCCCTTACCATTAAAATATATCAAAAATGCACAACATTAATATTCAAGTTTTCACTTCTGCCGGCACTTCTGGACTGCCTCTCCTCACGGGGGGAATCTCCTCTCCGTCTGGAGCTTCTAGACTACTCAAACCTGAGGGGGCCAGCTCAACTAGAGGGCGTCTCTGAGACTCAGAACTCGGCTCTAGTTATTCGTTGTCGTGGGGGACTGTTGAACATGTATATGCTCTCTTGCATTAGCATTAAGTCCATGGTTTATGTTGTGTAGCCATAGACTACTTTTTATATAGATGTATTGTCTCTGCCCTAATCGTTCTCTTGGAAAAATGTCGTCATGTAGGGATTTTGCTGTTGCATTTAGATCGCTTGCTATCCATGTTAATATTGTGTAATTTGCATCGTATAGTGTTAAATATTACCGATTCATATTCCTTGCAAAGTGTTATATTTGTATTTGAGAATACAAGCGTATTCTTTGAAAAGTGTCTGCGTTTCAATTGTCGCCGCCGCCACCACCTGCTCCAGAACGAATTGCTTTTATGCCTTTGTGGATTTTGACGTTGTCCTTCACCACTGCCAGCTCTCACTGCTTTTACAGGTTATGGGCCCAGTCCCAAACCTGGTGGGGAGCACGGACAAAACCAAGAATTTCTGTTCTTCATAGTTGTGACGAATTTTACTCTATTGAGCGGCAGTTTTCAGTATATTATCATGCCTGATGAACAATCAAATGCCACGGGATTTTTGAATGCAGGATTCCAATTTGACAAATTGACTGGAGTGGCTAACTATTTGCAATGGAAGTTTTGTATGAAAAATATTTTAACACTTGAGGGAATTTGGTCATGTGTTACTACCAGTCCTGTTATTGATGAAAATAAGGATGCACGAGCATTGGCACGGATATGCTTGTCTGTTCAGCCATCTTGTTATCAGTATGTGCGTGGCACTGTTACAGCAAAAGCAGCTTGGGATACATTAGCAAGTGTTTTTGAAGATAAGGGCCTATACAGACGCGTCCTTTTATTACGGAAACTTCACAACATTGCTTACAACCAATTTACATGCATGACGGATTACATTGAGTCGGTGATGACTCTCTCGCAGCAATTGGCTGATATTGGACGTACTATTGAGGACAATGAAATCGCTGAATTGCTACTCAGTGGTCTTCCAGAAGAATATGATCATGTAGTATCAAGTCTGGAGACAGCAAACATTACAACATTGCTCACAAGCGAGCTTGTATGAATCCGTTTACTTCAATAAGAGTTCCGCAAAACCAATAATAGCAATGGACTGGATGTTGCCAATAAGGCTTTTGTTTCAAAGGAGAAAAGAGGATTATTTGCCATTATTACAAGAAATCTGGACATATGTGTTACAAGCGCATGAAGGATGAGAGTGCTAAAAATATGCCTATTTGTATGCCTAATGTATGTGTATTTTTTGAATAAATGAAAAATAAAGTATAGCGGGGGTGAGGTAATGGATCGCTGGCCAGCTCAGTCCTAGATATAAAATTCGAGTCGGAACAGGCTCCGACATGCATTCAGCGACAGGCGCTCCTACCCTAAGGAACAGGAAGAAACAAGCGGTTCACTCTGGACCTGAAGCCTCCTCTCACCGGCCATCCATTATCAGCGCCCACCGATTTCTTCAATACCGAACACTGGGAGTTTTATTCACCGAAGCTACGGTCGACTATCGCCGTCAAGACTCCTGCGTGTAACTTCCTCCACCCCGAAGTACGAGTAGGTAACTGTCCGCTACTGCGACAGCCCGGCGTCCCGTACACTGGCATAATAATATATAAAAAAATACAATACAATAAAAGAACACAATCTCTATTAAACAGTTTTTTTTATCACCAAATTTGTTCAATTTAGTGGTTGGTTTAGATTTCGAAGAATGATCACCACCGAAAATCCGAACAACGTATTCCTAATTAAGACGTTTGAATCTTCCATATTGGTGTCGATTCTGGCATGATTATCTAAATTTAGCCCCGGTTGCATCTGCAGTCATTACCACCCAACTGGGCCCACGTGGTGGGTCATGGCCCAATCTCAGTGGGTCATGGCTTTAGTACATCCATAGGGAAGGCTTATGCCGCAGCAGTGGGGACATAAATAGGCTGATGATATTAATTAGCAATACATATTAAATCTTGGAATGTCTGTCACTTTTAGGGGAAAAATTTCCACCATTCTAAATTCCAAACTTTATTTTTAGTACTTTTCTCATCTGAAATAAAAGCAATTAAAATTAGTTTTTATAAGGAAAATTCAGATCCGTATTCCCTGAGGAAGTGGACAGAGCTGTGTGATGACTTAATCCTCGAAGGTTACTTAATCATATTAACAATAGGTTCAAATCGGTTGCCTGGTATTTGTCCTATATTCTCCAAACATAAAAAGGAAATTAAGAGTATTTCCATTTTATTGGAAATCAAAACCAATTGGAGTAAGATGTAAGTTACTATCACATTCATTATTGGTGATTGATATCCATCGTCTTCTTGTAAAAACATCAGTCATTTCTTATCACTATTTTCCTGAAAAAAAAGAATGGTTCATTTTTATTTCTATTTAGATTATTTATTATGTCACTGATTTACAGTC